GATGATGATGATGATGATGGTGATGATGATGATGATGATGATGATGATGATGATGCTAATGCCACTGCTGATGATGATGACGATGATGGTGGTGATGATGATGGTGGTGGTGGTGATGATGATGTGAGGAGGAGGAGCAGGAGGAGGAGGAGGGGCGGGAGGAGGTACAGGAAGAGAAGGAAACGGATTATAATGATGATAAGGAGGAGGAGGAGAAAAAGAGGATAATCAACAAGGATCATGGGAAGCAGGTCGGCGGTGAGGATACAGAGGTATTCAGTGGCGAAAGCGAACTCGAGGATTCCTGTATCTGCTTGTCAGAGGCGGGAGAAACAGACAAGGAGCAAGGTCGAGAGCGATCAAACACACAATGCTGGATAATGATGGTCGTGTGATTGGAGATGTTAATGTGGAAGCTGCAGGTACAGAACGGTCGTTATAGCAAATGAGTGCGTACTGCGAATGTTATCAGACTGAAGGTATGCGCAGGAATCCGAAGCAACGCGCTGGGACGTATGTATGACAGACGCCAGTGCCGGGCGGGACTTTGCGTTCCCGTCTCTGCCGAGGATAGCGACGAAGAGTTGGAGTCGACCCCCTGCGTCCAAGACATGCCGTCCCCTGCTTGCGACGACGACACTCCCAGGCCATTCCCTACCCTCTTGGCGAGAGCTAGGAGTAGGGGGGGGAGATAGGTGGGGATTGTGCTGTGGAGATAAGTGGCACGTAGTGCAACCGCATCCGGGCCGGAGAGAGGAGGAGAAGGAGGAGGAGGAGTACGGAGGAGGAGGAGGGACGAAGGGGAAATGTGACAGGCAGGGCGGGAGGGAGGGAAGGGAGGGAGAGCGACGGAGGGAGGGAAGGGGAGGTGCGGGTTCGCCGACAGGCGTGCCAAGACTGATCTCGACATGATAACAATCTGAGACTGAGGGTCCATGGATCGGTTGTCCTCCTTTTCCTGCACCAGTGCGAGGCTGAGTCAGTCTCTCCTCGCCACGGGCCAGCACGCACAGCACGTCTCCAGAGAGCCTCGCAAGGAATAATGAGATACATGTGATTATGTTGTTCAGTAGCGAGCTCACTGGAGCTCGAAAGGTTAGGGTACCGCTGAAAAGGCGGCTCAAGGGGCCACAACGGTTACGGACAGCAGTAATTGAATCGGAGAACGGTTCGACAGAAACACGTTTCACGCAGTTGGGTTCACATCACCAGACAAGTTTTGTTGCTGCTAGTCCGCACCAGCTCTCGGGCTTAACAGTAAATTAGTTCTCGCTGCCAAAATAGCGCGTCACTCCTGTGGCTCACGCTTCTGCCATGTCTGGTCGTGATATGCCGCTCTTCTCGAACGCCGCCTTGATGAGTCCAGCGAAGTCCCGGTTGTTCTCGAATGGGTCTAAGCCCCGTCCCTTCGGCTTCTTGGCGATCAGCTGCTCGTCGTCCTCGACTAGCGCCCAGCTCCACGTCTTCATGTACAGCTCGATGGGTCCGAACGCCACCGCCTTGGTCAGGCTGTCCGCAAGGTTGGCGTCCGAGTGACACCACCGCACTGAGGCTCGTCTCGTTGATACGCTTCTCGAAGACCATCAGCTCCAGCGCCGTCCTCTTCTTCGCAAGGCTCTGCATCTGCACCTTCTTCGCCAAGCATTCGTAGATGCTCGTTTGCGTCCACGCACAGGCAAGCCTTGATCTCCTTCACTCCATCGAGCATCGGCTTCAACCCATGTACAACACTTGCCGTCCCCGAAACTACATCGGAGACGAATCCGTTCAGCTCGACCCACATCATTATGACCATGAACAGCTCATCCTCAGCTACTGTCAGAGCTTGCACTTCAGCCGCCAGTGAGCTTCTGGCTACTCGTTGTAGCTTGCCATTGCTGTGAGACACCCAGCCCACTGGTGAGTGTTCCCCTTCCAGGATCTCCTTCGGAGCGATCCCTATGACGTAGCCGCCCGTCGATAGCCCGTCAGGTTTGTTCGCCCAGGCCGCGTCGCTCCATCCGACCACGACTGCCTCCCCGTCGAATGGCTCGAACTTCAGCTTGTAGTTGGGGTCCGCCTTCATCTGCCTGATCAGCTTGTTGATTCCGAAAAGCGTCTCCACCGTCGCTGTCGGTCCGCTGCTCTGGTAGATGGAACACTGCGCCTGGTACCTGGGCATGGTCTGTGTCACCACCCACCGGATCTCGCCGAGGGCCCCGCGCAAAATCGTCATCTCGCGATCGGCCAGCTTCTGATCCTCCTGTTGCCACCGCTCCGTCGAGATGTCGATCTCCGTGATGTTGTCAATGAAGTCCTTCCGGTGGATGGTGATCTGGCCGACCACGGCCTGGCGGACCGCCAAGCCCGTCCTGCATGAACTTGCCTTCCCCCCAGGGCGTCCGCCTGGATCATCTCGATGCCGCGCCAGCTGCGGCCTCCGTCTCCGGCGATCCGGAAGTCGTCCACGTGGGTGCCATCCACTCCGAAAGCCTCGCCCTTCTTTTCGCTGAAGACCCGTGCGCACGGATCCGACACGCATCGTTGGCTCTGAGCTGCTCCATCAGCGTGTCCACGCTCTCGTACCACGACTTCGGTGCCCCGCATGGCCCATGCACCGTCTTCTTGAGTCTCACCGCAGTCCCAGATGGTACTCCTAGCATCTCCGCCGGCTCGTTGTTCGCCTGGATGTAGGTCGGCTTGTCCTCTGGCATCCCCTTCCCCTGCAGGAGCGCCGCCTTGGCGTTGCCCTTCTTGTGCCTCCACTTCTTCATTGCGGTCAGCTGGAGGATCATGTTGCGAGCCCTGCGTGTCATTGTTGGTGATGCCACTGTTTCAAGGGCTCCCATGAGGGCGCGAAGTTATTCGCGCTTCGCGCTTCGCGGTCCTCGTTCCTTCTCCCCCTCCTCTTCGTCCTCCTTTTCTCCCATGAGGGCGCGAAGCGCGAAGTTGGGAGCCCTACTGTTTTCTCGCCCAGTTGATGATGTTGAAGTCCCAATACCACCAGTCTTGCCTTGGCACGGCTGCCACCCGTCGCCTCGTCCTTCTTCCAGGTCAGTGCCCATCTGGTCTTCAGCACGTCCGTGTTCTTCGGCTTCAGGTGTGGTGATATCTTCTCGAGAACGGTATTGGACGTTATCGGCGATGCAGTCGCGCCCTTCAGCCAGCTTCGCCCCCTTCGTCAAGTCCTTCTGCTCGGTCGTCGTGTTCTTGGTGGCCGCCTCGGTTTTCCCTTTCTTCAGATCCCCCGGTATGTACCTCTCCTGCTGGCTGGCTATCTTGTCGGCGTTCGACTTGTCCATCGCCTCGAAGGCCACCTCGATGAACTCCGTGTAGTTCGGAATGGTGATCTTCTCTTCACTCTCGGATGCTGCTGCTAGGTCGAACTTTTCCCAGTCCAGCTGGTCCCAGTCGGCAGCCTCGTCGTTCGTGAACACCGTAGCTTCGCAAGATCGGTCCGAAATTCGTCTTCATCCGTACCCTCATCTTCGTCTTCTCGAACAGGTCGCTTAATCTTTCTCTTCTCTTCTCCGGTCTTCGGCTACATGATCAGGTCGTCCGTCTTTTGGACGTCCTTCATCAGGTCTGGGTCGTCCTCGTCGTTGAGGGTTTCTTGCGGGCTGATGTTCACGTTGGTCCCCGTGGTCTTCATCTGCTGTATTTCATGTTGTTCTTCAGGTCTAGCAAGTCCGGCTCCCTCGGGTGCTTCGGGTTCCTTGGGATCAGTCTACATATTTTCCCAATCGGGAACAGGTGCGTCTTCCCTGTTCAGCGTCTTCCGAGAGTTCGAGTAGATTTTCCATGGATATTGTAGTGGCCTCCGGCCAGTGCCGCCGATCCGGGGCGCTTCTGACGCTCCTCATGGGGGGCCTCTTGGGGACCTCTAGGGGGCCTCTGGGGGCCCCTTGGGGGGAAATGTTTTTATTTTCGGACATTGGCTCTGGTTTCTTTTTTCCCAGAACCCAGAACGTGGTACAGTGGTTTCATTATTCCGGAATGGTAATAGTGGAGCGAAGGGGTTGTGTTTGGTCCATTAGAGCTTGGACCCCCCCCCCGCTTGAGCTCGACCTCCCCCCCCCCTCTCCTTCTCGAGCTTCTTTCCCCCCTCCCTCCTCGATTCTTGGACCCCCCCCCTCCCCGGTTTCTTGGACCCCCCCCCCCTTGAGCTCGACCCCCCCCCCCGTCCCCGCTCGAGCTTCCTCCTTGGACCCCCCCCCTTCGCTTGAGCTCGACCCCCCCCCGTCCTCGCTCGAGCTCCCCCCCTTCCCCGACCCCTCCCCCGACCCCCCCCCCCCCGTCCCCGCTCGAGCTTCCTCCTTGGACCCCCCCCCCCCGGCTTGATTGAGCTCGCCCCCCCCCCCCGTCCTCGCTCGAGCTCCCCCCCCCCTCGATTCTTGGACCCTCTCCCCCCCCGCTGCCCTCCCCGGTTTCTTGGACCCCCCCCCCCCGCTTAAGCTCGACCCCCTCCCCCGTCCCCGCTCGAGCTTCCTCCTTGGACACCCCCCCCCGCGCTTGAGCTCGACCCCCCCCCGTCCTCGATTCTTGGACCCCCCCTCCCGCTGCCCTCCCCAGTTTCTTGGACTCCCGCTTGAGCTCGACCCCCCCCTCCGTCCCCGCTCGAGCTTCCTCCTTGGACCCCCCCCCCCGCTTGAGCTCGACCCCCCCCCCCCGTCCTCGCTCGAGCTCCCCCCCCCCCCCTCGATTCTTGGACCCCCCCCCCGCGCTGGAGCGTTCAGTGAATTGCGTGGATAATTCGCCGGGTCCCGACCCCCCCCCCAGAGCGAAGCTTGAGCGAGCTCAAGCCCACGCTCTCAGAAGCTCACACGCCGGATCGGCGGATTCCAGTTCTCGTCGTTGACCATCTCCTCTGATCCGTCCTCGAATCTCGCCACGGTGGCCCTCTTCATCGTCGTCGTCTCCGGTTTTGATCTGAACCCCCTCGGTGTAAACGAGGCCACGCGCGGTCGCACATGAGTTCGTATGTGAACTGGCCGTCCATCGAATTCACCTTCTTAGTCGTCCCAGCTGCCGAAGCTGAACGCCAATGCTCCGACTTGAGGTAGTCGGCCCTGTGGATGTCTGTGTTCTTTGGGCAGTCGGCCTTCTTGTGCGGAGCCCGCAGATGAAGCACGGGCCTACACTTCCCTTGCCAGCTCTTTTGCCCTTGCCCTTCTGATAGAAACCCCGGCTCTGCTTGATATCCTTCGCGACATCCCTGGCCTGCGCCAGGATCCTCTTCTGCTTTTCGACGTCCTTATTGGCGTTCGCGATCACTGCTAGCGCCTCCTCGGCCTCCGCGCGCTCGTCCTTGTCCAAGCCCTCGATGTCAATCTCGTCGTCGTCCTCCTCGAAGCTGCCGAACGCCTCCCGGTCATCCTCGACTTCCTCCTCGAGCGCTTCCAGATCATCATCTTCTTCACCGAAGACTCCGAGCACTCGACCTTCGCCAGGCTTGCGTGGTGACATCTCGCGCTTCCTGTTGCTGGCGTCGTGCTCCTTTAGGTCGACGTCGGCCCACTCGAGGAGGAGGAGGAGGAGGAGGCGGAGGAGGAGGCGGAGGAGGAGGCGGAGGCGGAGGCGGAGGCGGAGGCGGAGGGGGAGGCGGAGGCGGAGGCGGAGGCGGAGGCGGAGGAGGAGGAGGCGGAGGAGGAGGAAGAATATGAATAG